AAAGGGGTGTTTAGATCCATGGGTGTAAAGTTTTGACGTGTCACATCGGATATACGAACACACATTTGAAGTATTAAACGTAGACTAATAACAAAACAAATTACAGTTTCCGCCTATAAACTGTCAGATGAATTTATTAAGCCTAATTAATCCGTCATTAGCAAATGTTTACTGTAGCCCCACATTATCAAATCATGGAGCAATTAGACTTAAAAGATTCGTCTCGCAATTTACACGCAATCTATATAATTAGTTATTTTTTTCGTTTATATATAATAATTCATACATGTGTCCAGACATTCGATATGACAGGCTGAAAAATTTTAACAGGGGATCTAAACATGCTCAAAGTGTTCGCCATGAACCTGGACGGTGGCTCCGCGCCGTATATTAGAGTTAAACCTTTTGGATCCAAATCAACAAACGGCTCACAATCGGATACTGTGAAAGTTCGGGTCAAATGAGGGGTTCATTCGGGTGTTCTGTAATTAGCTTTTATTCCTCTTAATTCAGAGATAAGCTGCTTACGTATTCTTAAAAAAAAAAAGAGGTTCACTAAATCATCCGACACTACGAAGTGGAATATCAAACATACCACAAAGAAGAGGACGAACAACAATTAGCCTAAACATTAGGCCTAATGAGTCTGCTCCCATTATTAAAAAAAAACTTAGGCCTAATGAGTAATGAGAATGCTTTGACTAATAATCATGGTCACTCCCAAAAAGGAGAAGGCCTCGAGTTCATTAGGTTCGAAAAGCGGCCGCAAAAGGGCCTCTTGCAGGAATCCATCCTCTTTTATATTTTTCGGCAACTTTGAGCTCACGCCAATCATCATGACGTATTTTACTTAGAGCAGGTTTAATAGTATCGCCGGCTACAGGCTATAAATATGTACCATGTCATCTTATAATTAGAGAGTATAATAGTAACCTGTTGACACGTTAAACAAGTAATATCTTTATTAATTTTTTAATAACCTCAATCTCTTTCTTCTTTACCCTTCCCTCTCTCACTCTGCTGCAACACTGACAAAAAGCAATGCACAGACGCTAGGAGCTCGTGTGCGCTGGCGACTAATTTACCGTCCGCTCGCACCCTCTTTCCTCCCTTCTCTCGTCCATGTCATCATCCAATCTGACGTGTAGCTCATATCGCCAGCTCAATCTACCTTATTAAACCTGCTCTTAGTATTTGCATGGCTATTATATTCGTCTGGGACAAGTTATATATTGATCGAGCATGCGTGCGTGCGACTCTGCCGGCCGTTGCCAAGACAAATTTCACGGCGTCCGCGGCTGCATACACCGTGCTACTACTACTTTCGTCTAGTGCATCATCATAGTCACTCGAGCTGTGTGCTGTGCCAATGTGCAGAGGACGGAGTATACTACAATTATGGTTTAGTACCGGAGAAATTTTATGATCCTTCGTAAAGTATCCATAGGTATCTAAAGTTTACTTTTAAAATTTTAATAACTCGAGATACCTAGCATCTCTAGCATCTAAAGATACCAAATTTTACGATAGAAAATATGGTATCTCGCAAAATTTTATTAAGAATGGTAAAATTATCCTTACTATTGCGCAAAGCTTTGGTTACCTCTCATCGTGTGTCCCTAGCCTGTTAAAATTTCAAACTTGATATATTCAATGTTTAGTTTTGGCTTTTCATACAGTTTTTTTATTGTTTTTAAATTGCTAAGAGCAAATATAAAAGTTCTACATATATTTTTTGTATGGTTTTTTTTAGCGGACGAGGGAAGAAGCTTTGGTTACCACATAATTCTCAAGGAATAAAGGAATGTAATGTCTGTTTAGATGATAGGAGTGATATCTCTGTCCTCTACAGCAAACAGGGCTGAATATAACACGCTAAAATTGGCAAAAACAAAAAAAAAGCTTTAAGAAAGAGGAAAATCCAGATCAGATCGACCAATATCACCTTACTAGGAAAACTCTGGCCCATGCGATGTCGCCCAACAATTCTACCGAGGAACAAGATCTGGCCAGTTCTTTTCAACCGAATGGACCGATTATCTAATTTTATGATAATATTTAAGAGGATACAGATAAATTAATTATTACAAAATTGGAAAGTCTTATATATATATATATATATATATATGATTTTGCAATAATTTAGAAGCTCGGGAAGCGTACCACCTATATAATCTTCATATATTCATTACAAGTAGATTTAGAACGGGTCAGTTCGAGGTGGAAATTTGTGCTAAATCTCGGTAGGTCTCTAGTTGCTCGAAGCAGAAATGCCGGACATTCGATTTTTCTTCCCTTTGAGAATCACGCCGATATGTATAGTAGTCAAAAGTATCGGAAAGTTCACTTGCACATATTTTAGTACTTAGTAGGACCATGCATTTTGGATATTGCGTACAAGTTTATTCGTGAACCGTGTGATTCTAGTCGGGGACCAAACCATGTAAACAACTTATGCAGCTTGGGGCGCCCATTTATTCCTGCTAATTTCGACCCACAACGTCATTAAAAGATTTCAGAGTCATGGGCACAATCATGTCAGCAATTGTTCCATATTATACTTGCTTAAAAGCAAAGAAAAGATTTCTTTCAAAAGCAAAGAAATAGAAACAAACCATTTTCAAAAAACAGATATAGATTAATGTTGTCATGTACACATACAGAGTCAACGTTGTTTCTCTATCATCACAGAAGAAAAAAAAAAGACAAGGCCAGGTATATATCTCTATCATGTTGTCATACATGTACATACGATACAGCCAACCTGCTGAAAGACAAGATTAATTGAGAATTCAAAATTAACAAGATCGCTATCCGCATCCGCAACAAGCAGATCATCGTGTTCAAAATTTAAATTACATGATCCATCTTGATCAGCCACCCTCAAATAAAGAGAAAAGGAGGAAGAAATTGGTGGTTAAGAAAGTGAAATAAGCACATCCATGGATACTTTCTGATGCCAACCACTTGACCATCTCGGTAATCACCAAACCGAAACAGAGACACTCCATAGGTAAAAGCAATTAAGAAACAATCCAAAACGCCAAAATAAAGAAGGGTCAAAATCAAACCACATTTTTGCATCATCTGCTACTGTTAACATCCTAGAGATGAGTTACAACTTACAAGATTGAGCAGGTTTACCTAATGCCGAGCAACTAATTAAAACTAGATATTGTTGGTAAAACTTCTATATACAGGTCATTAACGATTTAAAAGGTAATCTTAAAAATAAACTGTAATAAAAAATTAATAATCAGCTTCAAAAGTAGATTTCAAAATTTAAATTTTGACAGCGATGGAAGCGTTAGTCTAGAAATCTCGTGAACGACAGGTGCACATTACGTTTGCAATCGCAAGAGGAAGGAGGAGAAGAAGACGAACTCGTTCTCATCCGCGGTCAAAATATATTTTGGCATAGCAAGAACAGAAGAAGCGCCCCCATCGTCTCAAGGAATAAGCCAAACGGCATATTTAAACGAAAGATAATTTGTGAATAAAACTTTTATATACGTGTTTTTAGCGATTTGAAAACAAAGATTAAAAAAACTTCGATAAAAAACCCCAAAATATTAACTTCAAATTAAAAATTTAAAGTTAACTAATAATAAATATAAGTATAAACGAAAATATACGGTTAGAGAAGAGAGCAGGTTGAGGAAGAGAGGGGAAGCAAACCGAGCTGAACCATGCGGCGATGGCGATTGCTCTCTGCTCGGACCCCGCGTAGAGAGGGCGATATTTATTTAATTAATGAGTAATCATCCGGACAGCGATGGATTTGTAGCCTTGTGATTATGGGGGGCTTATGGCGATGAGGAGGATGACACGGCCAATGCCTATCCAAATCCAATCCATAACGCATTTCCGGTTCAGATTCAGAATTTCAGACACAAACAGCGATCCATCGTCCATGTAGTATTATACCCTTTTGATTTGATTACTCATTCCTCCTTAATCCTTGCCACGTGTGCAGTCCGGCCAACTAACTACCCGGAGTGTCCAGTCAGCCTGCTTTGTTTGTTCAAACTTGATCCAATCTGATTGGATCTGATTAACATGCACTGCTCGTACTAGGAGCAATATAATTATTACACCAGACCCCCTCTCCTGCTTGGTTCAGTTCAGTTCAGTTGCTACTAACTGCTTTCTTCAGTTGTGTTTGTTACAACAGTGCTTCAAATTATTCACTCGAGCACCTAACTTTGAATTTGCTCAGATCGTCCTACCAGTGAGCTCTAACAATCTCATTCGTGGAATGCGGCCTAAGCTTTGTACGTACTCCCAATCTTAATAAAATTTGGTCGGTCTAATAGCATGTCACAGAACCGTGTCAATGTTCAAAATCTTAATGAAATTTGGTCGGCCTAACAGCGTATCGATGTTCAGAACGACGAGCGTCGGTCGGAGTCACTGTACAGTTGCGGAGAGCAAGGGGAAGTAACTCGCATTGGCTGACAGGATTGGTCATTTGGTCCATGGGAGAAGAAGATGCCAAGGAGGAGGTGAGAGCTAGGACAAAGAGTAGTACATAAGCTGATGCATTTACTGCATTAGGGTAAAGTACAGGTTTTACTTAAGCTGAGCTTAGCAGAGACAGAGCAGCTGTTGTTGGTTTCTGTAACAGGGCCGGCAGGGTTTAGTGTTAGTGTACTCAGATATTTGTCAGGTAGGACTGGAGTAGTAGTTAGTAGGAGTAACTGGTTTTTGCTTTTAGTCAAATCTTTTGCTTTCGTGTCCAACATGACCACATGTGCCTACACAGGACACAGATGATGCTGCTCTCAACAGAGAGATGATTGAGATCACGAATTTGACATTTTGCACTAATATATACTACTGGGTTAAAGATGTGTTTTTTTTTTTACTTCTTCCACTCAAAAAAAGAAGTGATTTTTACTCTTCCAAGCACTGGAGATGAGTAGATATTTTATTATGCAAAATAGTAGCAGGAGTAATTGGATCATCCATAAGCTATGGCAATCAACAGCAAGAAGAGATTTGACAAAATTCATCCAAATCTTGTAACTATATTATAGATTTATATATAGTTGGTTATACATATTGGGGATCTGTACACTTGCTTCCTTTCGATGCCTCAATGGCTCAAAAGGAGAAGAGTGGAACAAGAAGAAGAAGAGGAGGAGGATTGGGAGTTGATGGAGGAGAAATCTCGCAATCAAGAACCTGGCTGCGGCTTCGTCGCCGGCCGCGACGCGCTGCTCTCGCCGCCGGGGAGGCCCATCTCCACGTCGCGGTCGCCCTGCGCCGGCGCCGGCGGGGGCGGGGGAGTCGCGCCGCCGCAGCCCAGCAGCCGCCGCAGGGCCGCTATCCTCGCCGCTTCCACCACGGCGGCGACTCCGGCGATGGGTCCCGCCGACGGCTGCGGCGGGAAGGCCGGTTGCTGCTGATGATGGGACGACGGAGGCGGCGGCGGCGGCGTTGCCGCGGCGGCGCCGCCTGTCCTGACGGCGTCCTGGGAGCCGAAGAAGAGCACGTTGGTGGGGAAGTTGGGCGACTCCGCGTCAGCCTCCGGCGGGCGCACGGCGGGCGGCGGCGGCAGCGCCTCGTCGATGACGGCGCAGCGGCAGAGCGGGCAGGTGGAGTTTGACCGGAGCCACATGTCGACGCACTCGACGTGGAACCCGTGGCCGCACCGCGGCAGCACGCGGGCGGACTCCCCGGCGGCGAGCTCCGTGATGCAGACGGCGCAGTCCGCCGCGGGGTCGCCGCCGTCGCCCCCCTCGGCCGCCGCCGCCACCACCTTCGTCGGCAGCGCCGCGATGGCCGCCTCGTCAAGCCCCCTCCCGCCTCCGCACCCGCCGTCCCCGGGGCCCCCGAACACGAACCGCGCGCGTCCCCTCCCTCCCCCACCGCTGTCGCCGCCGATCGTGGGCGCGGCGCCGCGGTACCTCTTGGCGCAGAGGAAGAGGTAGAAGCACACGACGAACGTGATGAAGATCGCCGCCGCCGCCGCCAGCATCGTCGCCGCGGCCGCCACCGACGTCCCCGTCACCGCCATCGATCCCTCGTCGCCACCGAGTCCGCCCCTCTCCTCGCGTTCTTGGCCGCCGCCGCCGCCGCAAGAAGAAATCTGAGTGTGAATTGGGGAGTGGAAATGGAATGGAATCGAGCCGCTGTGTACAGGAGAGGGGGTGTTATATACGGGCAAGTGGTGAAGGATTTGGAATTGGAATTTGGAATTTGGGGAGAGGATAAGAAGAGGATTTGAGTTGAGTTGAGGTGAATTAAATTTGGACGGGGAGGTGGGTTTAGAGGGAGGGAGGGAGGAGGGGAAAGTGAGTGAGGGAGGGAGGGAGGGAGGTGAGGAGACAAGGGGAAGGGATATAGTGGTGTGAGTGCCGACTGGTCAATGTTGGAGGGATAGAGACACATCAAAAACAAATTTAAAAGGTTTTTTTGAAACTGAGTATTAGTAAAAAGAAAATCTATGTATTTTGGGATTAAGAATATGTGAATTGTGGGGTGATATGAGTCACTGAGCGAGGGTGATGGACTACGGAACCATTCGAATTTCTTGTGTCATGATTTGGAGGGAAAAGTTTGTTTTACTCGCACAATTGATTCTGTTTGATCACTTTTAGTCTCCTAAGACTATTTCTAACTCATTTTATGTCTAAACTATTAAAGTTGCTAATTGTTTTTAGTTACATGTAAGATCTCATATATCCACAGTTCCATACCGCCATACATTTCATATCTGATTTAATACAAAAAAATTGCAACATCATATCTCTCGGAGGTTATAATCAAGACAATGGCCAACCACATCAAGTGCCTACAAGCTACAACATAAACACCCACTACTAGAAATCAAACATGAACATAACATCCAAATGCACTCAACTTTATTCAGGTTAAGGCTGTGTTTGGAGCATTGGGTTCCTAACCGCTCCCTATCGTATTCCACGCGCACGCTTTTTAAACTGCTAAACGGTGCGTTTTTTTTAAGGGTTAATTGGATCTATGCCACGTGAATTGTGGCAAATCAAAAAAATGCCACACCTATTCCGGAATCCGGTGCATGTCACTACTATTTCGTCAAATTGGAACCATACCACAATGTACGCCCCGCGCGCGCTTTGCCACCGTTTTAGGGTACCATATTTTCGTATGGACGTTTCTGCCCTCGTGTTCACGTGTGCTTAGACCAGCTCCGGTCCGGCTCGAACAGCCCGGTCACCATTCGTTCCCCACACCAAAACCCTAGCTTCTTGGAGGCGGCGCAGGCGACGGCGCCGGCGCAATCGACGGCGGCGGAGGCTACGACGGCCGAAGGCGGTGGCGCCGAAGCTCCTAGCGACGGCGCAGGCGACCGGCGGCGAGTACGACCTGGCGCGACGGCAAGGCGACGATGGAATCACCTCCTTCCTGGCGCGACGGCAAGGCGACGATGGAATCACCTTCTTCCATCCCCACGCTGAAGTGTGCTTGCGGTGCCTCCGCCACTGTGCAGATTTCGAACACGCCAAGGAATCCTCGACGCCGGTGGCTACAATGCGGCAATTCGGTAAGAACTTGCTTAGTTTCGTTGGTTTCATTTCGGTGTCTTAATTCTTAGTTGTTTGCTTAGGGCTGTTGCTTCTTATGGATATGGGAAGATCTGCTGAATGAGTATGCTGAGGAGATGGTTGCGTACTGTCACGCCGGCGAGTACGATCATATGCAAGAAACAATCGACATTCTTCGCCAATATTTAGATGATGAGAAGAATGAAAAAGCGAAGATTTGTGAGGTCCTTGATGCAAAGGAAAATGAGTTGAAGTCAACAATTGAGACGCTCAACCAGTGTAGGCTGGAGTGTTTAGCGATGAAGAAGCAGTTGGAAGAAGTTAAATTTAGCCGTGCTAGACTTCTATACCTTACCTTAGTGATCACTGTCTTATTTGCTTGCTTAATGGTAGGTAGAAATTGGAAATATGGATGTATTGTCATGTATTGTCCTGTGTATGTACTGTGGTGACCTATATGAATGAAAGAGTATGTTTCAGAAGAAAGTATGTGTATGTGCAGTGCTGAACAATATGAATGAAAGTGTATGTTTGAGAAGAAAGTAGTGAATTGTTACAATAATAGAACCATAAAATTTGCAGATTCCTGGGAAAAAATGTCAGATTCCTGTATAGAATCAGTGCCATGCAGACAATTGTCCATCACAAATTTTCAGCAAAGAGATCATTGGTGCATTCCATAATTTCAGTTTACAGCACAGAAATCTTTACAAAAGGAGAGAGCACATGAGTACAGTAAATTTTCAGCAAAAGAGATCATTGATGCATTCCATAATTTCAGTTTTCAGGCTCAACATGTGCATACAACAGTACAGACATACATGAGCAACATTACTGGTTCATAGCAGCCTTACTAGCAAAATACTTAAGAGATGGGGCAGGCTACATTGTCACTGCAAATAGGTTACTACAAGTTCACAGGCACACGTGCATTACAAGTTCATCACAACCATTGGCAATTAGCAAAATACTTAGAGAGGAGGTAGCTGGCATTACAGTCGAAGATAGGTGGATAGGCTCCTAACTACTCTAGTTGGTGGTGCACTTGAGGATGCTAGGTCTTTCCTCTTCTGGGGAGTCTTCTTCTTTTTTGGTGTCTTTTTTTTCCTAGGTGTTTTTTTCTTCTTTGGTGCAGAGCAGCTTGCTTCACTTGTTGACACTCCTGGATCATTTCCTTGCCTGCACACTTGTCTCTTCCTACAAAAAAGTGAGAATTTTTAGACCATATGGCAAGCATACAAGCCTGAATCTTAGTGACTACAACATAGCACAATATATCAGGAGTGTAACTAACAATAATTATCAAGTTGGGTTTTTTTATCAAGTTGGAGTTAAAGAATACAAACCGCTTGCACAAAGACTAATTAAGAATAGAAGCACAATGACAGCAATATACCGTTTTTGGGGGGTGCAGTGGCTGCTCATATCATCTGCATCTGCAGGTTCAGCCAGCTTGCATGTTTTCTCAAAATGTCCAAATCTTTTACATCTCTTGCATTTCACTCTCTTTCTTCCAGGCTCAAGAAATCCCCTTATTCTCTGTACTCTAGGCCTCCCAGCACCTCTCTTCTGCTTAGGGACATGCACCTTGAAGCCCAAATCAACTACTGGCCACTGTGTCCTGTCAGTCATAGGTGGTACTCTGCCTGCATAAGCTATCCTGAACATTTGCACACTATAATATGGGCTCACAAAATCTTGTATCCTTCCTCCACTGCTGCATATCCAGGCCAATGCATGCCTGCATGGCTTCCCTGTTATTTGCCAAGCCCTACAAGAGCATTTTTGGTTGTCTAGGTCAACAATATGCCTTCTTGTCTTGTTGTCAGTATCCACAAGTGTGACCTCTGCAAACCCATCATCACTTCTGGCAATCTTCACCACTTTAAGAAGAGATGTGGCATCATTAAGCTGCTTCATAACACCTGGAATGATTCCATCATCCATTTTCTTGCCAACATCTCTTCTAGTGGCCATCTTCTCCATTATTAACTCTCGTATGCTGTCAACAAGTTCATGAGGAAGCAGTCCTTTCAGATTTCTGATCTGAGCATTAAAGCTCTCAGAAACATTGTTTGTCAGATAGTCACATTTGCTGCTTTCTCCAAAGCCACATCTGTACCAAATTCTTGAATGATGTTGCTCAAGAAACTCTATTGCATCTGGTTTCACTGCATATATTTGCTGCATATGTTACTTGAAACCCTCCTCGGTGTAGCTCCTAGCAGCTGGATACAAATGCTCAGTGATAACAGAACCATGGTACTTCTTTAGGAAGTTAACATAGAGGTGCCTAATGCATTCTCTATGCTCAACAGGATCACTAAATGCAGCACTAACAGCCTTTTCTAACCCCTTGCATGCATCGGTTGAGATAACTAACCCTTCAGGACAACCAATAGCTCTATTCAATTGTTTCATAAACCACAACCAATTGTCATCAGTTGCCAAATCAAAAATTGCATATGATACATAAAACAGCCAGTTGTGACCATCTACAGAGGTGGCTGAAGCTAACTGTCCAGTGTATTTTCCAGTCAACTTAGTTGAGTCTACACCAACATATGGCCTACACCCTTGCAAAAAGCCATCTATACATGGTTTTAGAGCTACAAAAAAATGCTTGAAGCACATTTTATTTCCTAACTTCTCCAATTCAATTTCAACTATACTACCTGGACACTTCCTCTCAATTTCAGCCTTCCAGTTGAAAAGCAACTGAAAACTTTCCTTATATTTACCATGTATCTGTTCTAGTGCTAACTTCATACCTGACCATGCCTTTGAATACTTCAACTTGATCTCATACTGTTCTTGCAGCTTCCCCCTTGCATCCTTAGCACCCTTCTTTGGATTGTTCTTCAACCAATCACCAAGCCTATCAGCAACCCAGCCCTGTGTAGCCATCTTGCCCTCTCTTAGTTTGGTAGATGCACATTTGTGTTCAAAGGGAAGAACTGTAATCTGCATGACATGACATGGTGATAAAAAGTTACTAAAACTAACACTACTTTCAGGAGATGAAAAAATAAATTAACTAAAATAATACATTTATACCTTAATTGTTTTCTTATCATGGATTAGGGAAGCACGTATTCTCCATGGACAGCCTTCAGCGCGACAGGTTGCAATGAATCTTGTTTTAGCTGTCTTCAAATCAGCAAACTCAAAACCTTTCTTAATTGCATAATGCCTAACTGCTTTTCTAAAAGATATCATGTCAGGGAATAGAGCATTCTTCACTATATTTGGATTCTCTGGATCATGCAACACTCGAACAACCTGAGGGTCTTCATCAGTGACTTCTACCTCAGGAGCTTCAACCCCTGTGGCAGCAGTCTGAGAGGATTGGCCACCAACCCCTATGGCAGCAGGCTGAGAGGATTGGCCAGAGGTGTCAGGTGGCTAAGTAGGTTTTGGAGGCAGATACAACTGCTCATCATTAACACCAACATATTCTTCCTCATTATCAAACATGTCAGGCTCTCTAACATCTGCTTCCACTGTTGTAGGCTGTGCAGAACCTCCAACATTAGTAGCAGCTTGTCCAGAACCATCATTGTGGGAAGGGTTCTCAGGTGGGATGATAGCAATGGGCTCATGCACACAACACACAGAAGCAACATCCATGCTTTCCTCAAGAACTGCTACAAGTAGGTGGAAACTGGCCTCGGTTGCATACATCTCGAAAATATCTGGCAAATCAGTGTCCCCTATGAGCCTAACATCCTCACCCAAATTTTTGTTAAAATACCACACTAAGGGAGATTGGTTCGAGCCCCACTTAAACTCAACCCTCAAACT